CGCCCAGTCCCTCTCCCGATGCTTTCCTTCAACTCGCCCAGTCCCTCTCCCGATGCTTTCCTTCAACTCGCCCAGTCCCTCTCCCGATGCTTTCCCTCCCACTTTCCTGTTTTACCTCTACCAGCCAATGCTAGTCTGCTGAATGTCTGTTTTGCTTGAGTTTCTGAAGTTAAGCCTCCATGAATCGTGCGTGACTGAGCACCCCTCCCCCCCCCCTCCGGTGTGTTCCAGGTCTGCTCCCTGATGCTGGACGGTCTGACAGGGGTGGCCCAGGACCACATGCGGAACCGCTTCCAGACTGGACCCAACCACATGATGCTGCACATCAACCTCTGGTCCATCCTTGTGCTGGGAATCAGTGCGTTTACATTTAATGGCTGCCATTTCCTTCTGACATCCTCACTGATAGTTTTGACTCATTTAAAGTGTCAGAATTAGTGGTGGTTAAAAATATTCCCTTAGCAACATACAACCTGGTTAAAGACATGAGGCTCAAGTATCTTATTGCCCTGCCCCCCTCCCCCTTCTTTCATATTTTCCTGTTTCACGGTAGACCAGGCGTGGGCAGTCCTATCCAGAAAGGGCAATTATGTATGCAGGTTCTCGCTTAAACTGTCTAATTAGGGGACTGATTGGCTGAAGAGTCCTCACACCTGGGTTTGAACAGCTGACCTAAAGGTCATACACACCGGCCCTTTGTGGATAAGATTGCCCACCCCTGCATTAGACGTTAAAAGCCAGCCGCTGTTCATGCTTTCAAACACCAGGGGGCGTTTTCGCATCTTTAGCCTTTCGATGCCGGTCTTCGCTTTTTTTAAATGGATGTTTAAAGATCAGCTGTTACCTGACGGCGGCCGTCCGCTCTCTCTCATTTGAATTTTAATGCAGTTTTTATTCCGGTACAAGCATCGTGTGTGTGTTACGCCTATTTTATTTTTCGCCTGCTGTTTGTGCGCCGGGGCGCGTCCCGAATGATCTATTCAGCGCTGGCATTTCCCATTTTCGGCGACTGACATTTTGGTGTTAAGCGCTGACGGATAAAGCGGCGATGCACGGCAGCATCAGCCCGTGTCTCCGGCAGCGCAGGGAGGCTTGGAAATGCGCTTCACTCCTGGTCTATCAGTATATGTCCGTCGCTTTTCATTTATAATTAAACGTTTGAACGTCATTGTCCGCATTAATTGTACAGAGTCAGTTGCTGGTTCCCTTGCCATCAAACTGGATCTTTTGTGAAGCACTATAATTCACACGACTAATAATGCCGTGTGTAGATTTTAACTGCTGTAAATGTAAAATTAACTGCTGACATTTATTTCTCTAACCATTAATGTGTGTGCTAAAATGACGTCCCCCGTTTCTGTATTACACATACTCTTAAATTTGCTTTTATGCCCAAGTCTCATTAATAAGTCATATTTTAACAGCCAAAGTAGTTATTAATAAGTGGAAAAGTTAGGATTATGGGTAGCTGTAGTGACTTTGTTCTGTTTATGGCAATTGTGTGTTAATATTGGTTTTCATATTTGGCTTCAAAGCTGAGTGGTCACTGTGGTCCAGATGCTTATAGCCCTGATTGTTCACCCTGCATTAATATTGCATAAGCCCCTCCCTCATTGGTCACCTGACCTTTGTCTTGTGTTCTTATAGGTGTGCTGTGGACAGGGGAGATATGGGATTTCCTCAGCTTCGCTGAACGCTTCCCTAACATCTACTACACCATTCTGCTATTTGGTATTACCAGTGCCCTTGGCCAGGTGGGTCGAGTCACATGGGAATCCCCTATACACTTATCAAAATAAGAACTTGCTCAGGTATCTTGTATTTGAATTGGTATCGTGGGAGTTTTCCTTACACAAAAACATTCTGAGGGTGGAAGGGAAAATGATTGGTTCAGAGAAAGAACCAATCAGATTGTAGAGGAGGTGGGTCCAAGCAACTATAGGAGGTGGGACCAACCAATCAGATGTCTTGGTCCCACCTCTAATTGCTTGGACCCATCATCTCTACAATCTGATTGGTTCAGAGAAAGGACCAATCATTTTCCCTTCCACCCTCAGAATATTTTTGTGTAAGGACAACTCCCACGAGCATGAATTAGCTGCTGATCCCATTGGCACCTCATGGTTGCATTAAGAGTTATAATTGTGTTTTGATGATGTGGATGAATTTTTCCCTCACAGACCTTCATCTTCATGACGGTGGTCTTTTTCGGGCCACTTACCTGCTCCATCATCACCACCACGCGCAAGTTCTTCACCATTCTTGGGTCCGTCATCCTCTTCGGCAACGAGATCAGCAACCTGCAGTGGGTTGGCACCGTCCTCGTCTTTTTTGGTAGGTGACTCGTTTGCCCCTCTACTCCTTGGGCTGACACGGCCTCGATCTTCCTGTGTGACAAGACCACACAAAATGACCTCCAACTTCTTGTTTTGGTGGTAGGTCTGGGACTGGATGCAAAATTTGGTAAAGGACCCAAGAAAACTCCACACTGAGGAGTCTGGGGGAACATGCTCTTGTCTGCGTGAGCAGAATGGCGTTCGAGTGGACGGACACCCACTATTTAATGCTCCCTCCCCATACCTATCACCCAGTGGGATCCCCCACGACTCCCTTGCACCTCAGTCATCTCTAGACCTCTTCCGATGAAGGATGAGGGGCAGTCTGCAGCTTTGCCCCCTACTTGAACTTGTGGAGCATTTGCAATAGACAGTTGGAACCCCCCCCCCCCCCCCCATGTACTCCTCCTCTGCCATGCAGTGGAACTCCCTGCTCTGCTGGGCAAAATGTTTCCACGAAGTGCTGCTGGGAGTCGAAGTCCATAACCGGAAGTTTACAAGTATGTTTAAACTAGCTCAGGACTTCGTCTCCCATCAGCGTATCCTCCTGACATTTTTCTGGTCCCCCCTCCCCCTTTATTAAACCAGTGCTTCATTGCCTTTTGTGTCCGTTAGACAACTTTTGGAAACCGTTGGTAGGTGGACAGAAAGAAAAATTGAGTCCCAGAAAATGTAAGGCAATGTACATAAGGTAATAAAAGTACAGGATATATCAGCAGTCTTTGCACCTGGTTTACATATACTGTGTGTATACGCACTGCCCTTTAAGGAGATCTGAACACATTTTTTAGTGTTCTTTACCGTCACATTTCCCTGATAGGTTTTTAGTTATTCATCCTTTCTGTCATCCTGAGCAATTTTTTTGCTTTTTGTATTTTAACAATGGAGCTAACTGGTCGGAAAAGGGAACTCTGTTTTACTGTGCACAACCTGATGTCTATATATTACAATTTTCTGAATAAGTACCTTTTTTATGCCAAAAAGTGTGCGATTGCCAGCATCAGGGCACGTCAGCACTTAAAAAAAGTAAAGTGAAAATAAAGGTGATTGGATGACATGTGTGGACTCGATGGTTGGGGTGATATATGTGGTTGGTTTGGGTTTTAATGTGAATCTGAAGCTTTTTCTGAGTCAGCCAGGGTGTACTTACTGGTGCTGGGGGTGGTGGCCCGGTGGGGCTGGGTGCCACTGCCCCTTTTGTGCTGTGTGAGTGTCTACCGTAGGTTAATGCTCAATTCATGGGAGAGAATGAAATTTGGGAAGCAGAGGACGCCTCAGCATCGGGGGGGGACTATCGGATTAAGGGTTTTTGCGGGGATGTGTTGGCCGTGTGCCAAACTACATTTACCTGGTTCCCATATGGACACAAAGCCCCGAGGGCATCCTAGACCAGGGAGGTCGACTTGGACGCAAACTGTGGGTACAGGTGGGTTCGTACAAAAAAGCACTCTTGCATATAATCTGTCAGGATCCACTGGCTGCCTGCCTCATTCCTGCCACAGGCGTATCTGATGGAGAGAGTGATGTGCATTGAGCAGGAAATAATATGCATTATACGAAATTAAAAATGTTTTGTTGCTTAGCTAACTCCCCCCCCCCCCCACCAAACTAGCTTACAGTTTTACTAATTTATTCAACAGAATATTTAATTAGAAGGATCTTGATTTGAAGGTACAACAGCAGCCCTTGTGTGGGAATCATGGTTAGTAACATTTGCAGATGAACAGACGTGGGTGCCTTTTATTGAAGTGAGCATTGTAGCATTGCAGGGAGGAGCTACTGCCCACAATGAGCTTCAGGACTCCTGTGCCAGAGCGAAACATCTTAACTACAAGCATAGGGTCCATTACTTAGCAGGTTTATTTTTAGTTGTTAGTTGCATTTAATTATGTGGACCAGGCACTGTCTCAGCACATATTGTGTCCCTTCACTGCACACAAACAGGATGTTTAATGCATTTAGACGAATATATGAAAATTTGTATACATTTTGTCTGAAGTCACGTGCAGTTTTTTTAATCTATGTAACGATACCGAACTGAAGCACTTCATCTTTAGCAGGGTTTTAGACTTACTTAATTGGCATTATGTCTACTGTTGGGAAGGCAAGAATATGCCTTGAAATGTATTTGTAAATCTCAGCTGAGGTTTTCCTAGCGTGTGCCTTCCAAATCAGCTGATTGCTGGCTTTTGGCCGTAAACACCCCAGATGGCGAGCAAGCGTGTGATAATTAATCCAGCATCAAAAATATTAATGGTGCAAAAGCCTTATTTTCTTGATGGCTGGGGGCCATTTCCTGCATGTTCTTGAAATAGGATCAGTCATAAATGATAAGTGAATGAAAGTGGTGGGAAAAAATACGAAATCATTATCAAAAACACTCTGTAAACAAGCTGGTGCGCACACGCATATTTCTGTTGGAAAATCACAGATCGCGATAGTAATGTGAAAGCCCTAGTAAATGAATAAAAAAATAATCATATATAATTAGTTTCCGTAGTTGACAAATTTAACTAAAAAGACGGGAGATATCTGTTTACCGGAAGACTTACGAGCTCGAAATGTTTTAGGTGTTCAAAACAGTGCCTGAATAAAAAAAAAGAAGAGAAAGTAAAGAATGGGGTCATTTTGTGCGCAAAACCTAACACAAAAGGTTAACACAAATACACATTTTTTATTTTATATCATATCCTATCAACATTTAAGTGAAATAGTACTTGATCGTCTCAAAAAAGGACCCCGTGTCTGTCCGTATAACTAGACACACTTGTTTCTTTCTGCCGAGGCCTTCCTTGAGTTGGTTGTCAGTCTAAATTTCGGAAGTGCGATCCTTATATCACCGTGAAAATGTCTCTCTTAGGTGTAGTTGGTCGCCAGATGAGAAATCACCCAGCTGTAAGTACAAATTTTCTGAAGTCAGTGGTTATATACAAACGACGGTCCTTTGGGAGTTTGGCGACGAGACGGACGTTATGACGGCATTGTTGTGTGACGAGCGTTTTGCCAGATTTAAGAGCTAAAAATAGTAGGTTTAAGTTACTTAAACTTTAGATGTCGATTTGAAAAAGTTATGTTTTATGCGTTAACATCGCGGAAAACTTTATTAGAAGAACGACAGTATATAGGTTAATTCAAGTCGTTATTAGCTAATTGACAAATTAAGTCGAGTAAGGTAGATATTAATCTCGCTTGCATGTTAGTTTGGACAAAAGGTTTTGCTACATAAATGTAAATGTGTATCATATTCAGGTGGGGTTGTTCTAAAAATGGCTTCAAGCTACTAATTTAAAAGCACAATTTTGTAAGTACGGATGGCTAATTTGGTGAGCTAGTTGGCTACTCGCGAGCAGTCACGTGAGAGTAGGACCCCCGTGCTAGAAAACGCGTAAATCATGGCTGTTTCACGGGGGGGGGGTTTAATGATCTCATAATATCATACATGGATAATAGTGCAGATAAGAGGATAAACGGCCAGTGCAGTAAATGTAAGCTGCCATACGACAATCCCGTCTAACTTGTATTTATGAAATGGAATCGAACAGGCGGTTATGCGCATGTTTAACAGTTTGGTTTAGGAACGAATCATAGTAGTTTGACGTATTATAATTGACGACGTGTTTACAGCATGTGTTTTTGCGATCTTGTCCTTTAAAACTGCGGAGTTCCATTTAAAACGTGTTCAGTAAAATTTGCCGTGTTTTGCTTGTGGTGGTTGTACTCTAAAAGTCTGTCTTATTTATAGCTGATCCCGCTTTTTATGTTCATCGGGGGCGGGACCACAATGTCCCTCCTGTATCTTGCCCGTCTTGCCCTGCGCAACCCTGATGTCTGGTAAGTGTTGCTCCGGGGTAATGTGTTGCGAGTGCAGTACACTTCACTTGCCTAGGCATGTATTAAAAAATACTGTATTTGTGTGTTAAATACAATATTAACACTTATAACTTTGAGATGATTGATTGGAGATGTTAACTGTATAGTTGGGACCGCAAGAACAATCCGGAACCCTGGAACAAGCTGGGCCCCACTGATCAGTACAAGGTATGAAAATACCTAACTATACTGTAATTCCCTTTGTCACTGTGGGGTGGGGGTGGGGATACCTATGATACACCTACAAAGAATGATATATATATATATATATATATATAGGGGTGTATATATATATTTAGACAAGCCAGTGTTCTTCACTTAGTCGACGTATTTCAGTATATGGTGTCCACAGGCATGATCTTCTGCTTGGATAAACTTTGTCTTGCTAGACCCCTACTGGCCAGTTTTAGTATAACAGCTTAGCTTACTGTTCAGCATTGAGAACTGTTCATCATTGGATGATCTTACCTTGATCTTAAATTATTGGAACCAGTGACTTCATTCACTTGTCAGTATTTCCATTTTAATAATGGAATGAACTGGGCACCAAATTTGGGTATGCTGCTTTGGCGATCCCTGTCACACTCCTGGTTATTATTCCCGTCAATTTGTATTGCTGGTTTTTGCTGTGCTTGCAGCTGTACTTGGTGTTCAGGATCACAGTGTTCCCTGTGTGTTTCACTTTCTTCACAGTTCTACACTGTGAGTATAGATTACAGCAAGCTGAAGAAGAACGGCCCTGACTTCTAAGCGTGGCCCGTTCCTAACCCTACGTGCGGAAGGACCACTGATGCTTGGAGAAGCCGATCCGCACAATAACCAGCATTAGTCAACCCAATGGATGCAAGAAGCAGACCGCACAGTTCACCCTTGGTCTTATCCCCGGTTTGGAATGCTAAATGGTGTCATTTTTGACCCACTGGTGTTTTTCTACCTTTATTTATGGGTGTCTAGCAATAAAATAAAATGGACATCCGCCTAATTACGCTAGCAGTTGTGTGTTTGTCACTGGGAAAGGGAGTCTGACCTAACTACTGCTAAAATAAGCATCTAATAAAATCTATTAAAGAACATTGGTTGAGGCCAGTTGTCAAGTCAACCTCTCATCACTTATGAGAGGCTAAGAGGTGCATTTGCAATGGTTTTCTGAATGTAGCCTAATAGATGGAATTATGCAGCTTAAATTTTAATTGTAATTTGAATTACTTATAGTGTGGGAAGACCCAGCAGGAATAATGGATTCAACTTGAATTTTACTGAAATGCATGTAAATTTAACACCTTTTGGAGTTAAGCAAGTCATTGGATTTGTGGTTCCGTCGAGGCTGGTTATCTAATTGTTTTTAAGGGAAGATCCACCTCTAGAAGGACATTGCTGGCTGTCTATGCTGCTGGTAAATCGGCAGGCAGGGAAGGTGTTTGATGTGTGTGAAAACGTCCATTAGGGTTAGCAGAACTTATCCCGGTAGAACTGCTGTAGTTTTAACAATGTTCTCAATTTGCTGAAATGTGTTTTGTCCATTTTCAGGTTTATTCTGATGGCTCAAAAAAAGCTAAAATGATCACAAATAGCAGGTTGACAGGAAGCTTGCGGCTATTGCATTTTTAGAGGGAGATTTTTGGCAAATGCTGTCCAATCCCCTGTCAGTCACCTGGTGTCCCGGAACAAGGTTAGAAATAAGGTGATTTAGAATAAGTACATATGTACTTCATCCCCTTGAAAATCGATCTTGGGCAGAAATGTGTTCGGGTTGTAAATGTCAGCGGGTCAACATGTGAATCTCCCAGGCCCGAGGATTGCAAGAGGGATCGGGACATGCATGCGTGAGAATGTCAAGTAAGCCTCATGTGTGGGAGATAAATTCTTACCCACACTCACCCACCTGCGAAAAAGGTTAGACTGAGTTTTAACTAAACAAAAGATGGTCAATATGCATTGAGGAAAACCATTTTGAGAGCTTAATAACAGCAAGATGCATTTTCTCTTTTATGTGCGTTTTTCGCAGGATGGTAGAGATGTTTTATGATAGCCCTGTGGGTTATACTCAGTGATTTAATTTCTCAGTAGTAGAAGAAAAATTGTGGCTTGGTGTTCATTAATCCTAGAATCTGTGAGCCTCTGTGGACAGGTGGACGTTGTGATGAAAAGCTTTCCCGTGTGTCGCTGCCCCCGGTCCGCCCTTCCCGAACCCATGGAACGGGCCTGACCCCTTCATCTTGGCACATGAAACATCAGGTGGAAATAATGACCGGAGAAGTGGGGGGGAAAGGGAGGGGGGTATGGAATACGACACGTTATGGCTAAACCAAAGGCACAGAGATGCTGTTACACATCCTTAACCGCTGAAACCACACACACACTGAGTTTAACAAACTGTCTAATGCTTAATGCTCAGCGTTTAGGTTCAGTTAAGGTTACAATCAGCCAGAACAGCTATATCTGGTGAGATCTTGTCTGCATATTGGACCCCTCAGGACTGATTTAAGATTGTGTTAATCCTCACCATGCTAGGCACTCAGTGGTTCTGTCACTCCAGGATACATCGATCTGGAGCATCGTTCACAGCCTGTATGCCATGTGTTGAGCTCAATACTCACTATCAGTTTGTCCCACTCTGCTCTCATTGAAAATTTACAACTTATTTCATCACTGAGTGTGTCCTTAAAGATTTGGCATCTACCTCACCACCCAAAACTATAAACTTGGCCACAGATACATGGCTGCCCCACCCAAAGTGCCAGAGGGCTCTGAACGATCCCTAAAATCACCCACCTGCTCCTTACATTCACTCACCCCCCCACCAAGCTTTCTGGTGCCTCCGTTTCCACAGAACCATCCGCCTTCATTGGCAAGACACGCTCCCCTCCGCGCGTCTCATGGGAGAACTCATAAACTGGAATGAACCAGATCCCTGCGCTTCTTTGTCCACTAGAAGCAGGAGACAGTGCTGCAAGTATTGAGTGAAGAATCGAGTTGCCGGCTGGCTCCGTGGGCTTGGAGGAGGAACGGCCCCGGATCTTCAGGACACGTTCGGCTCACTGACAGCCTCACGAGCTTCAGAAGACGCTGTTAAAAAAAAAAAAAAAAAAAGTCACGACAGTGAAGTCATCTTCAGGGTGGCTTTCTCCTAGGAAGACCACCAGGCGTCTGAGGATCAAATGTAGCTGACCTCCATCCTCGATGCCTTCCACTCCAGCAACGCAGAGCACCTCCTGGTCCCGGTGGCGGAGGCTGCATTTCGATGCTCGCTTCCACCCCCTTGTGGGAGAAAAGCAGGTCAAAATTTAAATAGCGGGATATGGAACAGCTGGCGGGGCCCGTCGACCAGGCGCTTGATGAAAAATGGAAGCGCGGCGGCCCTTCAAAGGCGAGCCCCCTCCCCACCCCCCGGCTAACAGCGGCGTCCCCACATGGCCCCCCCACACACTGTGGCTGGAGTACACACCCCCGCGCCACACAGTGGCTGCTCGTTAGTGGCCACTCGTTAGCACCTGTGGACTGGACGTGCAGGCAGCTGCCATCATTAAACTTCAAACCAGCCCCTGCTGCTTGGGGGAAGGGGGGGGGCGCTGTATCTACCACCCCCACCCCCCAAAATGAAAATAAGGTACACTGCTTGATGATGTGTTCATTTGTGATTCATCCAAGATTCTGCAACAGAGCCCTCTCTACCATAAACGACTGGCCTTAACTAAGACACAATTTCCCACCGTTTTTGTCACACAAACCCTGAGCACAATGTTGGAAGATAATGAGACTAACAGGAATTCAAGCCACACAGCTGCCGGTTGGATTGGAGACCGTCTACTGGGATGTTTTCACATCCATGAATTTGGATCCTGATGTTAAAATGTTTCAGAGACTGATGATGGGCATAGCCTCGCACAATGCCAGAAAAGTCTGCTTTTTTTTTCCTTCAATATACTGTTTTTGCTGACCTTGAGTGACCCACTAAGTCCTGTCATGCCCTAACTCCTCACGGGGTCCTATTATTTATGAATGGCATCACACACGCGAACTACAGAAGATGCCGCTCTGCACTCCAGTCCTGCAGCTGCCAGCATGCGAGCCAGCGCTGTCGTCAAGGATCAAACTGGCCCTTGGAAGCATTAAAAAATCTATTTAAAGTCCCTAACTAATCAAATTTAAAATTGCGAGTGATTGCTGAAAAAATTAATTGAAATTTCAGCTATCCTTCTAATTCGATTGAAGGTATGTACCTTTACCGCATAAATATTCATATTCATAGATAAAACGCTGACTTTGTTAGCGTACGTCTGCATAGGGGCGGCCCGTTGGCTCCAGGAACTATCCTGACGCAAGCCATTGTTTTAGAATAATTCCGCAATTTGTTTCTGCCCTTTCTCTTTATATTAAATGGTTTCTTTCATCAAAACATCAACCTGATTTGAATTTGTCAACAAAAATTAAAACTTGACTTGCATCGTCGTAACTCACCAGCTCCGTTGTTTGGAATATTTTAGCTTAAATCCCTCCGCATGTCCCACGAATTTCCGTGTTCGACTGTATGAGAAACACTTTTGTAGAAATACTCGCACTCAAATACGAGTTATTATGAGATGTACAACAAAATCTGCTCATTAATGTAAAATGTTCTGTAGTATTGAAGGCAGACAGGAAATGAGAAATTGCCTGAGGAACATTTATATTCAGCGATATACAGAAGGAAAAATAGCTTTTTGCAAAGGGTGGCGCAGGTCATTTGTTTTGCAGTCATCGACCGGCATGTAAACTGTATTGGAACAGAACTTGCAAAACAGGACAGAGGAATACCCTGGGTAGCTAGAGATTAGAAGGGAACGCATTGTTAACTAGTTTTATATTTAAAAAAATAGAATTATTGTTAATCAGTATGTGGATCGAGCAGTCGGGACACGACCGCCAGTACAGATTCCACTGCCGAACCTCAAAACCGCCAGAGGCACTTTCTTGTTTTAATTGCTTTTTGGCTCGCTCTGGAGTCACGTGGCGTCGCTCCGCGCATACCCGGGCCAGTGTGCCAACAGGACTGCACATCTGTGCAAATTCAGTGCAACACATTCGATCGTGCAAACCATACAAGCTGAGTGATATACCTTTCAACTCGTAACACCCGCTATTGATGTATAGTAGCATTATTTACCCTGCATTACATACAGTGAACTGGAAATTTCAAGGTGGCCACCCGTCATTAATGGTCTGAATGCGCAGGTAAATCACGTCTGTTTATCTGCAGCTTTTATAGTATCTGACGGAAGGCATCTGAAGCGTTTTACCTGTTTCTTACGCACGAGTCTGCAAAATTCCTTTTTTGTTTGTAATGGTATATCTTGGCAGGACAGCCAGTGTAGTCTATCCCCCGTATGTTCCCAGGGTTGGTCCCAGCACGATATAGGCCCCTAGAGGGAGAAGAGAGGCAGAGATGGAGGACAACCAGATCCATCCATTCTCAATCTGCCAGGTAGGCAAGGCTCTTACATCCACCTTTCCAAAAACGGTCGGAGGCAGTGTAAGATGTAAATAAAAACAATGCAATAATTTGCAAATCATATAAACCCATATTCAATTGAAAATTGAACAAAGACATCATATCAAATGCTGAAAGTGAGAAATGTTATTGATTTAAGAGAAATATATGCCAGCAACATTTCAAAAAAGTTGGGACAGGGGCATGTTTGCCATTGTGTTGCATCTCCTCTTCTTTTAACAACATGCTATAAATGTTTGGGAACTGAGGGGACCAGTTACTGGAGGTTTGAAAGTGAAATGTTGCCCCATTCTTGACTGATATAGGATTTCAACTGCTCAACAGTGTGGGGTCTCCTTTTGTAATATATTTCGTTTCATGATACGACAAATGTTTTAAATGGGTGACAGGTCTGGACTGCAGGTTGGCCTGTATAGCACTTGGACTCTTCTACTACGGACCCATGTTGTTGTAATACCTGCAGAATGCGATTCGGCATTGTCTTGCTGAAATAT